AAACCGGACACTGATGTTCAAAGGCAGTACCAAAGACCACATTTCCTCCAAAAAGGGACACACTTCCTTCTTTCCTTTTTGTTTTGTCCAAACCACAAGCCTTTTGGTTGGTGCCACCCACATACAGGGTAGGTCTTCTCCCCTCAGCTTGCTGACCTAAATACCCATCATCCACAGCCACACCCAGAATTTACTAATTTTCTAGGCAGTTCCTACTCAAGTCAAGTTGACATATGATGGTTAATGATCACACATCCCAAAATACCTCTCTCTAAATGCCATTTTCACATTATTACTCCTGTCATGGGGGAAGATCTTTTCTTTCTACAATTCATCTCTTTCCCCCATGTCCCATCTTGATACCTGGCAGCCTTCCTCCCCAGTGAGGCCTTCTTTCTTTAGCATCATTATTTTCTTTTCTACTGGTTTTCCTTGGTCAGTCCTCAAAATATGAATAGTTTTGCCCCATTTGAGAGACTCATGCGTCTCTGTCCTGTAAACTTCTCCTTTCTTTCTGTTCACACTCAAATCACACTGCTGCCTTGCATGACTCATGGCCCATGTACTCCTTCATCTTCTGCAATCTGATAATCACCCACTCTGGCTCTTAAAGGTCATCTGTGACTTCCTAGTTACCATATTTAATTATCTTTTTTCAGCCTTTATTTTCTTGATCACTGTGAAAAATCTGAGCTACTACATACTATAGCAGAGACTGCTGGTTGGCCACCAAAGATCCCATTTTCCCTCTCTTCCTTACCAGCTCAACTCCGATATTGGTCCAAGTGGCAATGTGTCATCCAAAGACAGGATAACATTCCCCAGCCACTCTTGCAGTACAGAGGGGCTTATGAAATGTAGACTGACGTGCTTGTATTCAGTAGCTTACTGCCAGCTACTGCAAGATACATTTTAAATTCTCATCAGCATAACACAGTAATATTTTTCTCACATATGTCCAATATGTGAATTCTTAGTCAGCAGCCATCATTCTACATGGTCATTCTGGGGTCTAGATTCCTTCCATATTTTGGTTCACTCTTTAGTAGGACCTCAGATCTTCTATGTTCCACAGGCAGGTGGGGAGGGCCCAGAGGGTGGAATGTGAGACACTAGATCTCAGCTATATGTTGGCACGTGACTGCAAAAGAGGCTGGAAAAGGTAGCTTGTGTGACTGCTAAAAGGAGGAAATGGATTTGATGGACATCTAGCCACCCTCTGCCACATGGCTAAGCCATTCAACTACTAGACTCTAGCCCAGCCAGACCAGCAGGTGGGATTGAAACAGACCATAGGCACTGTTCCCCAAGTGGGTGTATTCCAGCACAGGAAACCTTACTTGGTCAGTCCTCTAAGCCTACGATCAGTGTTTTTTCCTCACTCTCAGCCATAACAAATGTATGGTTGGACATTTTTCTCTTTTTCCTATTGTTATTCTAACCTGTAGGTTAATTTGGACTCTGCCATTATCAGAACTGTTCCCGATCACAGTGACTCATGAGCCTTCATGGTTGTGAAAGGCGGAAAAATATACTGTGAGAAATGTATACTGAGATAAAAGAATAGATTAGAAAAGTGCTATTTTCAAATCCCCAAAGAAATGTAAAATTGGAAATTGTAGTGACAACAGTTATTGTCCATAATAATGATTTTTGACAAAAAAGTACAGATGAGATTTATAAAACAGAAAAAAGACCATGGGTGTCTTACTGCTGAGATCAACAACTCTCCTGTTACTGCACTCTGCAGCCTCTAATTCAAAGCCCTTCCAGCCTCCCTTAGCCATGTTTATAGCCTTAGATGAGGTTTACTATCCACTCTTGATCTATTGGTTAGCAGTGTCATGCCTGTACATTATTCTGCATCCAGCTCAGATGACTCTAACACAGAGACATTTCCCTATATTTAAATTCAGACTGATCACAGAAACATTTGTACCAATTAATTTCTCCTCCACTTTTTCTAAAATTATTAACAGTAGTGATGATAATTCACTTTTTTTTGTTTTTTTTGGTACCAAGAATTGAACTCAGGACCTTGCACTTGTCAAACAGGCACTTGTGCAGCTGAGCTATAGCACAAGCCCGATAATTCACTTTTAAGATCGGATGTTTCCAACTCTCCCAATTGCGTATTTTCAAAGTTTTCCTGCTTTAAAAGTGTGCCAGTTTAAACAATCCATATTTCATATAAGTTAGCATCAGCTGATGTTGTAGTCAGGGCTTACAAGGGAAACAATTTAAAACAGGACACATAATTTATAGGGTTCTTTTACACGAGTCACCCAGAGAGTCAAATACAAAGAGTTTGGGAAATCTGTCCACCCAAAGAATCCAGCTGAGGGCCTGAGTCCCATGGCAATGTCCTGCACAAGTCCAGCTGAAGACCTATAGCCCATGACAATGCCCCCAACAAGTTTGAATGGAGGCCAAGAGCCCATGACAATGTCTCATGCAGACCTGTTTCATGGATCTGCTCTGGGAAGGCCCAAAGGTCAGTGGTGGAAGATAGAAAGTCTGCACCAGCAGGATGAAGGATCTGTACTGGAGCCAAGAAGCAATACTCAAAGTAAGGACCAGAGCTGCCCCCAGAAAGTACCACAGCCATCTTCAGTGACATAAGGTCCCAAGCCCCTCCAACGATGAGATCAGCCAAGTTCGTATCAGGAAATCCAGCATGACAAGCTCCTCCAGGAGAACCAATAGTACCACGTCTTCCTCTCCTGTTCTCCTTTTTATGTTGTTGGCAGCAATTCTCAAGTGGGCCTTCCACACCCAGTATCATGCTGGTTCAGTTTAGCTGGCTTGTTACAAGTTGGCCACCAGTTGGCAATCCACCACAGCTGATGTCTCAGGTATAGAAAAATAATCATTTCAGTCTTCCTCCAGAGCCACCTCCAGATATACAAAATAATTTTAAGACCTGGACTTGTGTTTTCTCATATAATTTTTATTTAAAATGGCTCTTGGCCTGGTAGTTGAGCAGAAGAATATCTTTACTTCTTAGAATAAGGGGCCAAAATCACTTAAGGCTCAGTCTTTCAGGGCATGGAAAAATAGAAGAAGGAACCATGGTTTATCCATTCACTCCATAAACATTTATTGGGATGAAATCATGTCTCTCTGAGTGTGTGCTGGGACACAGTGGGGGGCAAAGCTGAATAAGACATGGCCCCTGCCCTGGACACCCTAATATGCAAACAAGTCCAACCTTATGCAGTAAAAGCAGCGAGGCATTTGAGGCAGACAAGACAGTGGGTGACTTAGGTTTGGGATAAGACTGAGGAAGGGAATAGTGTGAAGACTATTGAGTGGTGAAATAAAAATCTAAGAACAGGCTGAGGAAAGCTAAATCAAAATTGGCATGAATGAAAAGAAAGTATTGGAATGCTATGGCCTGGGCCTTGGTGTCAAATCCCTGAGCTCACAGAAAGGTACTTAGGGAGACTCTTCTAAACCTGAGGTAAGGAATACAGAGCTGAAGACCCCGCTGCCTCTGGGACTCAGCCAAGAGGCCACCAGCACTGCCCCCATGCTGAACCTTGTGACACACCAGTCAGATGCCAGTCAGGACTCCAGGACTTACACCCTCAGCTGTCAGCCCCTCCAGGTATGGCTTCGCTAAGAAAGTCCCTGCCCCCATACCTGGCCTGTCCTACAGAAGGTGCAGTCTCCAACCTCAACTCAAAACATCTCTGAAGACCCCATCATCTTCTGAGCTTCCAGCTGGGTGAGCAAGGCCTTTTATTAGAACTATCACAGCCCGGGTTCTCTCTTAGTCCCACTTCCAGTCCTTCCCTTTCATGGTGTTAATCCTCAAAGTATTCCCCAACTAATATCTTCCCCATCCTATCGATCCCTAGCTCTAAGTCTGCTCCCTGGGAAACCAAACCAGCTACACCTGCCAACCACTTCCCTTGGAACCACAAGCAAACTGCTGGAAAAACTCGGTAGTCGATGCAACTTTACAACCCGAAATTGAGTTAAGAAATGGATTGTGCTGCTATTTTTTTATACTCAGGCCATCACCCAAAAGCATTTTCAAAATTTCATTCTGATCCTTAAGGTTTACGCTGCAACCAGGTTAAAAATGAAAGTATGCTCTGTCCAAGTCCTGAGTATTGAAGATTCTAATCCTGACTTATAGGTGGAGCCAGAAGTTCAACCAAGATTAGCTGGGATGTGCCCACTGCCCAGAATCTTGGGAGGATTTAATCTCTCGATTTGGCAGCCAAAAGATATGAAAGTGGAAATATTTACCAGCCAAAAGGTTGAGCTGTGAGATCTCAAAAAGGAGCAGCCAGAATAGAAAAGTGAAGACTTTTCCTGTAACCACCAGTAAATTTTGGCAAACAGTGGCCAAAATGGCATATGTGTGGGCTTGGCCATAGGACACTATGTGACCACAGAAACACTAGGGACTGGCACCTCTGACCTTGGTGGCAGCTCTGCTTTTGGGCTTGTGAGCAGATGAAGGAAATCACAGGCTCCTTCTTTTCTTTCTGTCTTCTCCTTCTCCAAAACAGAGGCTCAGAGAATCCAAAAGAGCTGCATGCTGTTCTAGACTCATCACATACTAGTGTATGAACTGGAACAACTTAACCTCCCTGTGTCTCATTTTCCTTATTGAAACCAATGAGAGATTAAGAAAACTTCTGCATGTAGTTGGCAGGAATAGAAACATGCGCTAACACCACTCATAAACCCTTGAAGACCACTGTGCTTAACCTTCTAGTCCAGTGATTCTCCCAGTTGCACAGAGGAATTAACAGGGAAACTTCAAAAAATACTGAGGCTTGCCATGTCCAGAGCAGCTCTCAAAATTGTCAGGGTGAAGGACAGCGGAGGATGAAGAAATAAAGACAAGAATCAGAAAACAGAAAGCTGAAGTCAGGTGGAGCCCTCTCTCCACATGGGAGAAAAGGAACTGCTCAGTGACTATAGCGCACGTTTACACATTCAGCAGGTTGATGTCAAGTGATTCCCCTCTGCCTACCAACCTGTTTGCTTGCCTCTCCTCTCACACTTGGCATTCTCCAGGCTGCAGTAGCTTGTTCATGTGGCTCACCTCTGGCGCTCTTTGTTCTCGAGACCAGCCTTGCTCCAGCTCCACACACGTGATCCAGCTCCAGCTCCAGCCACTCCCCACGGAGGCTGGGAGGGCACCCTAGAGTATCTGATATACTCAGTTCAGGGTGCTGAGGCATCAGAAATATTTGCAGCTCTCCAGGTGACTTTAAGGTGCAGGCAAGGCTGAGAACTATTGCTGTTTGCAGATTATTTTCTTTAAACCACACAACTACCCTATGAGTTCAGTACAATTGCCCCCACACCCATTTTTATAGACAAGGAAATTGAGGTTTGGGAAGGTTAGGAGATTGCCCAGGACTATGGAGCTATCAAGGGGCTGAGCTGAGATTTGAATTCACACAAGATAACTCCCAATGTGTACACATTACCAACACCCTGCTTCACCCTGATGCAGAGAAACATCTAACATGGTCTCTAGTTATCCAGGAGCTGCAGCCTTTTTGGGTTGGCTAAGGCTGTTCTCTGCTTTTTAGTTTCCCTGTGCTCTTCACAATCCCCAATTCAAACTGTCACTGGGAGTTCAGTAAGAATGAGGGGAAGGCTTGAATGTGGCTTGAACTCCTAGATTCCAGAAACCTTCCTGTCTCAGCTTCTCAAGTGCTGGGACTATAGGCATGTACCACTGTGTCTGGTATTAAAACATTTTAAAATAATTACTACAGATACTGTATTGAAAGTCCCAGAAGTCCAAAGAGAAAATATTTTTTACCATCCCTGTTCCAGTTTAGGTCAATGTTTTCATTTGCCTGGGACAGATTCTGGGCCTTGTTCATAAGCCTATATGTTTTTTATATTATAATATCATAATATCATTACATTTTTATAATATTCTATTAACATGATGCCATGCATATCTTTCTAGATCCGCCTTACAACTCTAGTAAACCCCTTGACAGCTCTGTAGATAATGGAGCTGAGTCAGAGATATTTTCACTAAAAGTTCCTCTTGTTAGGAAACAAACAAAAAGCTTAGCCCGGTTACTCTGAAAGCTGATATAAAAATTTATAAGCCTGTAAAAGTTCACATGGCATGGCATTAGCTTGCCTTTATTTGCTGTATGCTCCTCAATACCCATCCTCTTTACCCCCATGCCTGGCACAAAGAACTCAAAAAAATCTGTTGCATGAATGAAAAAATGATACTTTTCTTAGCTCAATGTTGAGGTTATCAAGTGGGATTCCTTAGGAGCAGGGACAGAAAACTCCAAAGTTAAGCCTGAGATCAGGGCAGGGTAGACAACAAAAACAGCAGGCAGGAAAGAAAGACAGCTGGAAACCTCATGATAAAGGTCAGCTAAATTGGCCAGGAGGAAACGGGTGGTTTCCTGAATGGTACCCGTTCAAACACTCAACCTTTGAAGTATGACATGTGTACACCATGTCAGGGACCCACAGCTGGCCCATCCGTCACCTTTTGGTACATTTTAAAAAGATGTCTGTATTTGGGGGCTCGTCTCTCCCTACACACTGGAAGGGATGGGGAGGTGTAGGCAGCTATGGCAATAACAACAATAATAATAATAGCAATAATAAGGCTGCAAAGAATTGGAGTGGGTACACTTTGGGAGAACGCCCCCTTACAAAGTCCTTAGAGCAAGGATTCTTGTGCTGCGCTCCATTGGGCCTCGGCTGGGTACCACAGCGGGATTTCAGGACACTGTGAATCCTCCGAAATCCATGTAAATTATGTACGTGTGTCTGTCTGTCTGTCTGTCTAGGAGATCTCCGTTTTCATCAGATTCGTGGATCTTTTGGTTTTAGGGCCTCTTTCTCCTTCTACTTCATCAGCTCAAGTGAGGCTCTTCTAAACCCATCATTATTTGCTAGAAGCTGGAGCTGAGGATGAAAGAGAAGGTACACAGCACAGGAGTCAGCCCCGTGCAAGGTCTGCTGTGGAGTCCACACGTGTGAAGGGCTTAGTGTCCAGCATATGTAAGTGCCCATAAACGGCAGCTCTAACTAGTTTATTACTCTTTGCCAAGCACCTCATTTTTATTTCAGTCTCACAGTAGCCCTCTAAGGTCATAGAATGTGTATATTCTATTAAAGACAACAGAGAGGTTGAGTTACTAACTGAGGGTCACACAGCAAGTGGTAGAGTTCAGAACTGCCTAATTCCAAAACTCCAACTTGTGCTGTCCAGGCCCTGGCCCGAGTCCCGCCAGCTGTCTGCCTGGAATCAGCCTCTCTGCCCACCCCCCAGGCTCTCACATCTGAAGCCTTCAGATCCTGCCCTAATTCCCTGCTCTGTCCATCAGCTCAGGCCCAGAGCCAAAACTGGGTCTCTGCAGGCCAAGAAATAACCTATTTCCTTATACAATGTGGACCCAATTATCCTCTTCAAATTCCACACTCAAAGCCCGTTTCTGCCCTTTAAGTGTTAAATGTCAATGAGAGAAACAAACAAATCACAGTTAAACTCCTTGCCTTCTTGACACAGCCAAGTCAAAGCCAGAAGGGAAGACATGTTTCCTGGTAGTCACACAGCAGGAGAGTGAGAAAGCTCTAAACTATTTTCAGGTTTCTAAATCCATGCTAAAACCTGCACTTACATATCAGCTACAGAGCCACCTTTCCATCTCGTGACCACTAAGGGCCTGAGCCCTACCTGTGCACCCTTTCTTAACAGGTATCTCCAGGCTTCCAGAGTCCAGCTGGGAGCCCAGATGTTACCCCTGGGAGGCTGGAGTCCCTCAGCGTCACACTGGTAGTAAGCAACAGAAGCGGACAGTCAGTGCTGCTAATCAGCCCCTCCCACCAGGTCTACGGGGCACTGAGATTCACGGTACCAACATCACCTCTTGGTTTGCCCTCTTCAGAGTTCAAGTGTTCTCTGGCTCTGAAATTTGGCCAGCCTCTTGAGAGGAGCGGCCATAGAGGACAGGTGCCTTCTATAAATCCAAGGCCCGCTGCCCGGTAGCGCTCTGCCCCTTATACGACCTGCCGCCTTGGGCAATCCCAGGTGATCTTGCTAAAGTCCCAGGTCATGGGGCTTTAGGCAGTGTTTCGTTGTTATGCAAATATGAGCTACCCTAGCTCCTCCTCAACCCACTAATTCCAGAAAGCAAGGCGGCAGCCCTTTCCAGCTCCTCCTTCCTGCTTGCCTCTCTAGGGAGTTGTCGGCCTCCAGCAGAGCTGCACAGCCGCCGCCAGCCCGCCGTGCCCCCTCCGCCCTCGTGGCTGCCGCTGCATTTCCCCTCTATCTCAGCACGGTTCTCTTGCCTCTCCTCGCCTGAGGACGGGTCTTGCCTGCACGGACTCCTGGCTACTTTCCTCTGTCCTTCCGACTCCGGGCACCGGGCTCTGCCTGTCCTGAGACCCCCGCATCGAGGCCGAGCTCTGGAGCTGTACGGGACTGCGCCGGGTGCGCTCGGGACGGCGCGTCCCGCCCTCCCGGCCGAGGGGTGTGCCCCGAGAGCTTTGATAGGAGGCGCCTGGCGGTGGGGCGCACCCAGCAGCCCGCGGAGCTTCCTCCTCCGCGCAGCCCAAGCGCCGAGCGCGCGGGGGGCTCTCCGCACCCGGGCCGGGGCCTCGCCCGCCCGCCCGCAGCCTGCACTGCAGCCCGGCCTTGAAAATGTCCTTCTACCCCTGCAACAGCACCGGCTCGGTGCAGAGCGGCAACTCGGCGACAGTGGGCGGGGTGCTCTTCAGCGCGGGCCTCCTGGGCAACCTGCTGGCCCTGGGGCTGCTGGCGCGCTCGGGGCTCGGGTCGTGCCGGCCGCGCCCGCAGCCCTCGGTCTTCTACGTGCTGGTGTGCGGCTTGACGGTCACAGACCTGCTGGGCAAGTGCCTGGTGAGCCCGGTGGTGCTGGCTGCCTACGCGCAAAACCGGAGCCTTCGGGGGCTGGCACCCGCGCAGGGCGACTCGCTGTGCCAAGCCTTTGCCTTCATCATGTCTTTCTTTGGGCTCGCCTCGACGCTCCAGCTCTTGGCCATGGCCCTGGAGTGCTGGCTGTCCCTGGGACACCCGTTCTTCTACCAGCGGCACGTCACTCTGCGCCGGGGCGCGCTCGTGGCGCCGGCCGTGGGCACCTTCAGCCTGGCTTTCTGCGCGCTCCCTTTCGCGGGCTTCGGGGACTTCGTGCAGTACTGCCCCGGCACCTGGTGCTTCATCCAGATGATCTCCGGAGACGGCTCGCCGTCGGTGAAGGGCTACTCGGTGCTGTACTCCAGCCTCATGGCGCTGCTGGTGCTCGCCATCGTGCTGTGCAACCTGGGCGCCATGCGCAACCTCTACACCATGCACCAGCGCCTGCGGCGGCACACGCGGAGCTGCGGCCTCCGGGACCGCGCGGGCCCGGGCGCCCGCCCGAGCGAGACGTCCCCGCACTCCCTGGAGGAGCCGGACCACCTGCTGCTGCTGGCCCTCATGACCGCGCTCTTCACCATGTGCACGCTGCCTTTAGTCGTGAGTCTCTGGCAGCGGAGGCCGCGGGGAACCGGGTGCCGGGCTGGGAGGGCGGGGCTGCGTCCCGGGCCGGGAGCCGGCGTGCTGCGCTCTCCAAGTCCGACTCCCTTCGCCAGGTTGCTAAGCCAGAGGAGGGAAAGTCAGAAAAAGGGAAAGACAAACCTGGTGGTGTCCCCGAGTCCAGCAAAGCTCTTCCCACTAGGCAGAATCCGCTTCCCTCCGCTCCCCTCTGGCGAGATCTCCGGTGGGTTCGCGCCTAGGACCTCGGAGGAGGAGAGCTGGGTTCGCCTTGGCCACACGGGCTCCGCTGCCTTTTCTTGCGCGCTGCAAGTTTTATTCGCCAGACCTGCGGGTGGTGTTACTGCGTCAGGAACGGGCGAACAGCGCCTGCAAGTTCTCTGTGGAGTGTTGGCTTGGGGAGGGACGAAAGGAGTTTCTGAGTCTGTCTGAGTGGCTTGCGGAAGGGAGTGACTAAAACAAAGATTTAGTTTCAGAAAAAAAAAAAAAACCTGCATAAATGTAAGAGGCGCGGCGGCAGCTGTGTCTACTGCAGCCGGGAGTGGTGGTGACAGATCAGACAGAGGCTGTAGTAAGTAAGTTTCAGCTGTGGTGGCGTTTGGCAACCTGTCTTGACATGTTTTGCTTCTATCTTGTCAAGTGAAGAAGCCTGAAAGCCATTGCTCCGGTTTCAATTTACGAAGAGGACGGTGGTGGTGGAGTTTGAATTACCCGCTTTCGTTTTCATTTTGGGATCCCAGACACCCGGCCGGGGCTGGGGACCAAGAGAACGGTTTAAGTATTGTCCCTGTGCGATGCACAGGTCCAACCCGAGCAACATTTATATCAAGTGCGGTATGTGGCCAGGGCAAGGTCCTTGCAGTCCTGAGACTTCTGGGAGTAGGAAAGTTTCTTATCGTGGTGCACCCGTGTAGGATGTTACTTTTAATGGTGATGAAAAGGAGATGTGAAGTGATTTCCTCTTAAATGAACGCCTTGGTTGTGGGGGAAGCTTAATCGCTTGCATCATGCTGCAGGGGTAAGATCAGAATTCAAGCAAACACCGGCATAGAAATAAACCAGCGATTCTCAAACTTTAGCACGTTCAGAATCATCAGGTAGTTTTTAAAAATAAAGATGACTGAAACTTCATCCCCCAGAATTTCAAAATAGGGCATTTTTGAAGATTTTCATTCTTCACCAGCTTCCAGATGCAGTTGGAACTGTTGATTCGGAGATCACTATTGTAGAACCACACTCTGGGTGGGGGGGGCAAGTCAGTCCTGCCTGCTGCTTTCTGTAGAGATTTGAAGTTAATAACAGTTTTTACTTCTTTTAAATTTTAATTTTTACTGGTATATGTTTGCAGTACATAGCGACTACATTCAGTGTGGGGACTTGGTATAAGTACATAACACATTTTAAATTTGCAATCAGCCTCCAATTTTTTTTTTTTCCAGTACCGGGAATCGAACTCACGACCTTGCACTTGCCAGGCAGGCCCTGTGCCCCTGAGCTAAATCCCCACCCCCCTATAACATTTACACTTTTTTTATGAGATTTTCTTTTTTGGTACCAGGAATCAAACTCAGGACCTTGCGCTTGCCAGGCAGGCACTTGTGACACTGAGCTATATCCCTAGCCCTATATCCCCAAATTTTGAATCCCAATTACCCCAAATATTGTCCAACTTTTTAAAAAAGAAATTTAGTCTCATTAGTAGATGGATATTTTTTAAAAATTATACTGCATTATGATTATTATATCTTGAATGCTGTCAGTAAAAACTATGCAAATGTATTTTTTCTCTTACTTAGTACCTACCAAATATTCATAATTTTCCCCCTTGACCTGTAAAAATGAAAATATATACTATCTGTTGCATTACAGAAAAGCTTTGCAGACCATTATTATAAAGTTGGAACCTCACTAACCTATGCTGTGATAAAAGCGAATCATAGCCAAAAGCATACAGCTTTTGAGCTGGGTCTGAATGTTTTAGTAAGATAATGCAGAAAATAGTGTAACACAGAGGAGAGAGCGTTGCATTTTTTCATGTCTCTGAGGGGATTTGAGTAACTCAGGGGGCACTGTGAGGATTAAAGGAAATAACTGACTTGAAAATGACTTTCTAATAATCTTATAAAGTACTAAATACAGGTAACGCAGACAGCACTCTTCGCGGAAACCATCATTTCTTAGGAAGGACAAGGGTTTTAGTGTCAGATATGATTTGAATCAGACCTCATCACTTAATCACTCTGGAAGTAGCTTATTTAGCCTCCCGAGTGCTTGGATTACAGGTATGCACCACCATGCCCGGCCTTGAGCATCCCTAATCTGAAAACCCAAGATGCTCCAAAGCCTGAAATTTTCAGAGTGCCAACGTGGTGCCACCAGGGGAAAGTTCCACACCTGACCCCATGTGGTGGGTGGCAGTAAAAAACTTCAAACTGTTGTCTAAGGGCACCTTCAGGCTGTTGGTATAAACTAAATATGAAACAAATAAATTTCCTGTTTAGACTCAGGTTCCATGCTGAAACCCCCTCTTCCATACATGCAAATATTCCAAACTCCAAAAAAAACCAAAATTTGAAATCTGAAACACTTTCGGTCCCAAGCCTTTGGATAAAGGATATCAACCCCTGAGTATGTGTGTATCTGTGTGTGTGTGTGTGTGTGTGTGTGTGTGTGTGTGTGTTCCCTTAACTCAGTGTCTGTCCTCAATAGTTAGTCTCAGTATCATTACAAGTTATAGCTTTCATCTATTATTATCACCTGCTGGATCTAACAAATTAATCAAGAAATATGATCTTCTCAGAGGTAGTGGCAGATAGATTCTAAGGCAGGGCTTTTAAACTTTTCAATGATCTAGAGACCCCCTTAAGAATTACTAAGGATCCAGAGAACTTTTATTTTTGTGGATAATGTCTGTCAGTGTTTATCATGGTAGACATTAAAACTAAGAACTTTTAGAATTTTTACAAAAAGTAACACAACCTAATTCTCTTGTTTTTGCATGGGTGCAAGGAAAACGAATTTCAAAATGATTTAATAAACATGATAAAGTTACAGGGATTATAGCAAGTGAAACAGAGAAGAGCATATTAAGATGCTGAAAACACACATTTGTGTCCTTAATCTGCTACTTTAGACAGGTCTAAACAATCCAAGAATAATGTATATAAGCGTATATTCCATTAGCCATAGAAGAGGTAATTTGCTATGTGTCATGTGTACTCCATAAAACTCACTATTCACTGGTGAGAGAATAGAGTGAAAAAATGAATATATATATATATATTCGATATTGAGGACAGAACCTAAAGCTTTACACATGCTAGGCGAGCACTGTACCACTGGGCTACCTTCTCAGTTCTCAGCCATTATTATTTTTTGAGACAAAAATCTCACTAAATTACACAGGCTGGCCTTGAACTCTCGATTGTCCTGTGTCAACCTCCCAAGCAGCTGGGATTACAGGCATGTGCTATGCACTGCACCAAATAGCATCTTATTTATGAGAAATTTTGACCTTGTCAACTCTATTGGCGATCCCTACACTTTGAGCTACTTTCAGGCCCTTCTTGAGTCTGATTTTTTAAAAATTAACTTCACAATAATACTTGATTAAGGTAAGATACCTAAATAGATTATATTTTCAAATTTGCAATTTGATGTAGCAGGAAGATGCCGTAGCAGATATGGGATGAACTTTAGATGCAGTTTGCAGCGTATTCTATAACATGTCTAACACACTTTCATCAGAGTTCTTTTTATCTTAGACACCCACAATGGATTGGAGGTTGGTAGGGATGAGAGGGGGCACAGGTCGAGATGAGATGTAATCACTGAGGGTTTCAGAAGCCAGGTAAAGATAACCACAAGCTGTTTAAGAGGAAGACAGTTGAGAGACCTTCTGTAGACTACCCCTGCGGGTTTCCACCCAGCTGGCAGTAGCAACATTTTTCTCGATGACACCTAAACCCAACAGAGGGCGCTGTTTTCACATCGATTATGTAAATTGAGCCACTTTAAAAATGCCCGGTGCAGAGCTGTCCACTTCTCATGCAAATCTAGTGACTTCAAAATACAGATAAGCAGGCTGGGGTGTAGCTTATGCTTGGTGTGCACAAGATCCTGGGTTTGACCCCCAGCACCACAAAGAAAAAAGGCAGGTAACCTAAAAGGATTGACAGATAGATAAATACTGCATAGAAACAAAATGGTTTGTTTCTAATTATTTAAGTATCATCCAGTCGTCTAAATCCCAGCTAATCAGAGATTCTCACATCGCTGGACATGTATTTTTACTGTGCTACACTTGGTGGAGAAGGTGGCACATATAAAACAAACTCGTGTAACGTTTGTTCTTTTAAATCAACCAAAGCATACCGCGTACCTACCACACCCAGCACATTCTGTAGTTCAGGATATAAACTGAAAAGTCACCGTACCACCTGCACATGGTATGGAGGAGTGACTAGGGCAACAGGGACATTTGAAGCCACTCTTGATAAAATAATACCAGCTTATTACTGAGTTCTTACTCTACCTGTTCTCAAGGTGTCCCCTCATTTAAATTTCACAAGAATTTTGGAAGCTTAGGTACAGTGATTCTCATTGTAAAGATGAGGGAGCAACTTCTCTAAAGTCACACCTCCAAGCAGGGGACTGTAACCCAGAGAGTCAGAACGGGAGTCGTCTTCGAGGTACACCTGGCAGGGAGGTACCGTTTGGGCATGGAGTCCATTTCCACACCTGCAAAATGGGGATAATGACTGTATCTTCTTCATGTGTTTTTGTAAAGATAAAATAAATATTTCAAAGTACTTAGAGAAGTGCCCGGAAATACAGGCTGGCTGGGGGTATTAGCCATTACTGTGGCTATTATTACTTTTAAGAAATAGTGACAGGAAAGATGTAACAGCTGAGTCAACAAAAGGCGTCTTCCTAAGGGCACTCAGGAAGAGTGGACAGGCCCGCTGAAATGCTCTGCAGAGGGAAGTAAAAAGGTAGGGAAATGCTTATGGGAAAATCTATCTTCTCCAGGAGATGTTCCTTGATTGCCTGAACAGGTCCGCTCTCTGCACTCATCCATATTCCCTCCTCCTCCTGTAATGTTGGCTTTGCAACATTTCGGTTCCATTAGGATCCATTTGCCCCATTATGGGTTTAGAATCTCAGTAGTCACAGGGAGTGTAAAGCCAAAAAGAAGAGGTGGCCCCGTCAGGCTGTGGGGCAGGCAGGGCAGTGCCGGTCCCCGCAGCAGGGTGGGCCAAATGGCAGGAAGAGCCATGGCTTGAGCACGTGGAGGGTTCTGAGGAGGCTACAGGGACCTGAGGGAAACCTGAGGGAAACCTGAGGGAAACCTGAGGGAAACCTGAGACAATAGGTAAGTAGGCTTTTATTTTCCTGCATGTTTTTGCCTTTCATCTGAAAACGAGGATGTCAGCTCTGGAAAGTTCATCTTCTGTGCCATGAGTGAGTAGAGCCATGTTCCCGAGGTGAACAGTTTCCTCTTCGAGTCACCTCAGGCCTTCTCGTTGTCCTATTGCTTGGCCTTTCGTGTCAATTCAAAGCTTCTGTGTCAGTGATATCTCTGTACATGTGACATTGCACAAGGGGACATATTTCCAAGTAAGCTAAAAGGGGATAAGAAGCAGACAGAAGAAAAGAGGACTGAATAAAGTATGGAGGGAGGACAGGCTGGAGAGAGAATCTGTTTCCGGAAGCTTCCATGGGTCTTCACGGTCTGCCAGGGCCCTGCAAGCTAGAGGGAGACCATCAGAGTGGGACTGCCACACAGTCATCCGTGTCTCCACTTCCTGGCCCCTCGCTCCCACCCCTCAGCTGTTCATAAATTTACCAAAAAGGAGTTTGCCAAGCTAAGCCACCGTGTTCTTACAGAAAGGTAAGTGAAGTGAATTCATGGTTGCCATCAACTTTTCCATATCATAATGGAATGTTTTTCCTCAAAACAGTATCGCGCTTACTATGGAGCATTTAAAGCTGCCCGAGAAGAGCCAGACGACCTCCTAGCCTTGCGTTTTCTCTCTGTAATTTCAATCGTGGACCCTTGGATCTTTATCATTTTCAGAACCTCAGTATTTCGGATGTTTTTTCACAAGATTTTCATAAGACCTCTTCTGTATAGAAACTGGCACAACCACTTCTACCAAACTAATGTGGAATCCAGTCTGTGACAAAGGTTCCTGCGCTCTGGTACACTGAAGGATGTATCACGTCTTCAAATAAAGAACTCACAATTTAAAAAAAATACAAAACTTGACCTTCTGAATCTTTAAAAGTTATCTCCCATAACAAAAGCATCTAGGTATACCTTCAGAACTACTTGGTATGTCTCATGAATGTGTTGGCATTCTTGTTCATGAACCATTTTGGTACGTTTTTCATTTCATGCTAATGGGAATTAAAATTTTGTATGTTGTAAATAATCTTTAAAGTCTTATAGCAATGATATTAATTGTCCCAATGTTTGTACCAGGTGTCCCTAAGTTTTGAGGGAAGTCTCGAGACCTACGGGTCTTATTTAAATACAGTAGAAACACCACTGTTTACAATATGTGAAGAGTGTTCTCTAAAAACATAGCAGTGACTTATGCTATTTATTTCCAGTGAAATCTGACTTGTTTATTTCATGTCATAATTGCCCCCGTGTAGTTATTTTTTGTGTCAGTTGGACTAAGTATGGCCTGAATTACAGACACTCTTCAGAGAAGTGTGATGAGACGTGCAACCAGGTCAAGCACATGGAAGATTTCTCCAGCCACCATCTGGGGACACTGCCTGCCTCAGGTGGAGACTCCAAGCTATAAGTAGACATGAAGTTAGATACGACCATGTCCCCAACTCAGAGAAGCAAAAGCTATTATTATTTGAAACACAGTATGGAGGCAAGGGTGTCAGTAGGAATCAATATTTGGTAGTGAGTTACCAAATGCTCTTTCAGTGTTTGGAACTTGCCATTTGATGGGTTTATTGTGTTGATGGATTCTTTGTGTTGATGGATTTATGGCTCTCAGAAGAGCAATGACGGATGGCGCTATAGAGAGCTGTGTCTACTGAGTCAAGGTCTGTGAAGCAGGAGATGTGTCCTAGTGAGAAGCCCACCCTGGACCTAGTGGGTCAGTTGAGCCTGGTGGCAATGACTTTAACACCATTCATGACAGCAAGGGGTATTCTGCTCTTTGGAGAGACAGAAGTTATCGAGCCTTCTGTGAACTGTGCTTTCAGAACTGGAGTGGGATGCGGTTCAAAAGGAGCACAATCGAGCACTTTAATTGCACTTCTAACGGTTTACAAAAGTAGCAACACTACGACCCTAAGGGAAATGTGGGGGAAACTGTAAGCCAGCTTGTGGCAAGAGCTTTCAGTTTTGGTAAAAGGACAGAGCAGGGGTGCTGCACAGCTTGGCATCTCTGGAGTCCCTTTGTACCCCAACACACTCCGACTCTGACATGGAGATGGAGAGCTGCTACACTGGAATCATCACTTGTCGAAGCAAGGCCTGTTCCCGCCTTCACCACAACCTCATTCTTTTCGCCTTGGCTTTTGTGATGTCTCAGAGATGGTGTTAGCCAAATCATACGTCATTTTTTTGTATAGCGAAACTGTGAAAAGCTTAATTAGGAAGATAAGAGGTACAATTTGAGAGCATGACATAATGAAAAATGCCATTGTTTTGGAAGGTTCGCTTTCATTGTATGTTCTGTGAGTATGCATGTTTTTCTTTTGTCAGAGGAAATGCATTTTTTGTGCTACCCTTTTGAAATGTACGTTATGATGATTGTCCAGGTAATTTGATAAGGGTCCAGATGAATCAATAAACATAATTTTATAATATTTTGCTGCGGAAATTGCTTTCTTCAAATAAATAAAGGGCTTCTCTTTTTAGAGCAATCATCAGCAATATTTCAGTCTCTAGCAATGTAATCATACAAGTTTTTGTATACTGTCTTTCTAGCGTTTCTATTATGTTAGATTTATCCAAGGGCTTAAGTTCCCTCTCTTTGTTTTATATAAAATGTCATTTTGCCTCCTGATGAAGTCCATGTTAATTTAAAATCAACTCTGCAGTGATCTCCATTAGTTTATTCGTTAGTTCATTAGATAAGTGGCACAGACTTGCACCAAGCAGTTGATTGATTAGGTACTGAGTGAAAGAATGACTCAGTTCTGGCCAACGAGTTGCTCAGCTGTCCGCTGGGGGGCGTAAGGAACCGCCAAGAGTTGCAGTGCCCTGTAGAATCTGCCGGTAATAAACACAGCCTCTGTCCTGCAACACAGGACGCCAGAGGCTATGATCAGGGCTGTCCCAAGAACTCCACAAGAAGAGAAGATGCTTCAGGCAGGGATTAAAAGGAAACAGACATTCTTAAATTTTAATTTTTATTAGTACATATTTGTGGTACGTAATGATCCCATTCCTCTTGGGAGTTGGTCCATGTACATAACACATCTTCATTCTTTTTTCATCTCCTTCTCTTCCCTCCATCTCTTGGTCCCTTTCCCATTTGCAAAGGATCCATCTTTCCATTTCCTATTTCCTATCCATTTTGCTCTTTATCCATACATCAGGTTTCTCATATAAAAGAAACCATGCAATATTTAAGCTTGTGTGTCTGATTTATTTCACTTAACATTATGGTCTCGAGGTACAGATTTTAACTCCAGCTGAAAACTGCAGAGCGCACCCAAAGAAATACAGTACAGAAGATGCTTAATAAATGTAGACACATACCCCACCTAACCAAAGAAACAAAAAGTAAAGTCAAATGATCGAGAACCAAACAAAAAAAATTATGACTCATAAAAAAACAGGGAGGAACATTCATGTTCCCCTGATGGGTTTGTAAATTTGTGCACCCTTTCTTAATGATAAGCTGATTGTGTGTGTTAGGAGCCTGAAGTATTCTTTTCCCATTATTCTAGTAATCTTCCTCTAGAACCATCTCCCAGGAATAGAGGAGCTGTCAGATCACACTCAGAACCTTCTTTTGTAGCGTGTAATTTGTAATAACAAAAAATGACCAGAACAAGGGCTGAACAAATTTTCACATATGTATATATGAATATAATATATATTTACACAAACACATTCAGCCATTAAGAAAGATTTTTTTCAAATAATTTACAATTTTTTAAATTTATAAATATTAAGAAGATTTATATTAAGTAAAAACAGTTTGGTACAAACTATTTTAAAGTAAAATCTATAAATATATATGTGTAGAAAATACCTTAAAGCCAGGCATAGTGTCACACTCTTATAATCCTAGCACTCTGGCAGGCTGAAGCAGTAGGATCACAAGTTCATGCTCAGCTGAGGCAATTTAGATACTTAGCAGTACCCTGTCTCAAAATTAAAAATTAAAAAGGGTTGGGGATGTAGCCCATTACAAAGCCCTGGGGTTGAATCCCCCAACCACAAAAGAAAGTAATTAGTTGTTCATGCTTTCTTTGATTTATTTTTTCAAGGGTTTTTTTTTTATTATTATTATTACTGGGGATTGAACCAGAGCCACCGCACTGAGCTACATCCCAACCCCGCCCCACATTTTTTTTGAGACAGAGTCTCACTAAATCACCAAGTTAGCCAGACTGAGCTAGAATTTAAAATCCTCTTGCCTCAGCCTCCCAGAGTGCTGGGATTACAGTTGTACCACCACACCTGACTCAGTTACATTTCTTATGGAACACACACATACACACACACACACACAGGTTGTAGTTTTCCAAGCTTTAAAATAAGTGTATTTCTTTTACACGAAGTTGTTTTTTGAGAGAATGAAGACATGGACAGAACAAACAACGGAAGAAGGCACAGGGCAAGAGCTTCCGGTCTAAAGGAAAGGTCTGCATCGGGGGAACGCAAAAGGAGAGGAGGGTGGTGACTCCAGGCTTAGTTGGTAGCTTCCTTTGACAGAAGCTTGGGACTTAGGACCACAAGGGGCAGGACAGGAGGCCGAAAGAGCAGCAGGTCACAAAAGGCCCTGGGAATGGGGTGGGCAATGGCGGGCTGCGCTCTAGAGGCAGCCAGATGGAATCGGGCGGGGTCTGCTGGTGTTGTGGATTGTGAGTGCTGCAGGTGCGGGCTCCAGAGAGGATGGGAGCAGTTGTGTGGGGCCCTTGCATCGTGCGGTCTGTGCAGTAGACCAGCGCTCCCTGCTGAGAAAGTGAGGGTCTGAGATACAGTCACATCCTGCTCAGCTCCCATGGGCCTCAGCAGCTCAGGGAAAGGGGCCCCTCTTAGGATCCCTGTACTGTTCTCCTCAGGTTCCCAGTTTATCTGGGCAGTAGATTGCACTGATGAGTGAAATGAAGTTGCTGGGTTATGGTGTGTTTTGGTTACTTTTTTTCTCATTGCTGGGACAAAATACCTGATGCCCAAAATTAAGGAAGGAAAGGTTTATTTCGCTTATAGTTTGTGGACGTTTCAGTCCGTACTTGGCAGATTATAAGGCAGAGTGGCACATGGCAGAGAGCTACGGCTCATGGGGGCAGAACACAGCAAAGCAACAAGCACACACCAGGGCGGAATGGCCTCAAGCACCCTTTTCCTCTCCCTTACATATGCAAACTATCCACCCCAGGGAGGGTGTAGCTCTCACACCCATAATCATCAAACTTTAAAAGCCTGCCCCATGGCCGCATGAGGCTTTGGGGGGACACACAGGTATAAACCATAACATGGTGTGTAGTTGAAATGCTCTCCCCAGCCAGGCCCAGAAGGAAGCAAATATTAAAACTGTCAGTTGAGTCCCAGGCATCCTTCAAAGGCAGACGGAGCCAAGCATTCCTGACACTTGAGGAGCAGAGAAATCCTGCGAACACCAAACCCAGGAATGGCCTTGGACCCTCAGCAGCCACGCAGGCCTTGGCATGTGCTCTTGACTGAGAATCACCATGCTCCGGGCCAGGGCTCCAGGCCTGACCTTCGGTGAGCAGCACGGCAGCACTGTCCAGAATTGAGGGAAAAACCTGCCTTCCTTGGAAGGACTCTTTCCCAAGGGGCTGGGATTGCTGGCGTGAGTGTTCCGGGGGAGAAGTGCCCAGCTCACAGGAAAGGGGGATTAGGGCTGTGACTAGGGCTCCCCTATCCACCTCTGCACCATCGCCTACCACAGTGAAATCCGCAGGTCTCACCCATTGTCTGCAAGGTGAGCATTCCAATCTTCCAGACCATTAAAAAGCTGAATGCAAGCAGGAGTCATTCAGCCATGGTAACATTCACAACAACGGTGTTTAAACCCTGCCGCACTCTCACTACAGTGTCAAATCAAAAAGGGAGAAGAAATAAATTTGATTTTGTCATTGCTGCTGTTGTTGTGAATTCAATGGTAAAGCCGGGGAGTACAATAAATCAGAATGGAGTAAAATCTGATCAGAAAGTATATTTTAAATGGAGCTCATAGAGTCTTATGAGGATCTTACATTCATAGAAAATACTAGGAATCTCATTGGAAAGACAGGATAAAGTGAAAAACCACACAATATAGTGCAAAATGTTACCATGTGCTGCAGTATAAGCCTTAGATTTTGAATCAAGGCCCTCAAAGCAGATAATAGGTATTGGAGGTTAGTCTAGCAGGTTAGATAGACACCTGGGCAAATGATGAAGTTGGTAGGTTACTGACATCAATTTCTTAACAATACAATAGAGGAGGAAGACACAGTAAAAGTCATGCAACACAATCCATAGTGAATTGGGAATGTTTGATTTCATTCCACAGTCTTAAAAACAACTCAGTTCTCATTTCATTACAAAAAAGTGTAATGATTTACTGACTATGATTGGCATATCTAAAATGATCCTTAAAAAAATAAAGATAAAAAATGGGACCAAATATGTATCCTTCATGTGTGAACTAAAAGTAATATTAGGCAATGAGTTTGCAATGATTTTTAAAAACTAGCTGGGTGTGGTGGCTCATGCCTGTAATCCCAGCACTCAGGAGGCTGAGACAGGAGGATCATCGTGAATTTGAGGCCAACCTGGGCTACAAAGTGAGTTCAAGGCCAGCCTGAGCTGCATAGTGAAACCCTGTCTCAAACACACATACACACACACACACATAAATCAGCATGTGGCTTTACAATACAATCAGTAGTGAACAATTTAGGTCATTGAATTATTATGGCAATAAAAACATAAAGGAAAAAGTATTAAAGAAGTAGTAGAGAAATCAAAATGTCACTATTTTCCTGGATGATTTCATGCCTCACCCCAATCAAAGTAGATCAAATAGAAAAAATGTTTTATTTAAATATATTTGCATTTTTATTGCCACATCACTCAATCAGATGGATTTTTATCAAGTAGATAACATATATGTTAGGATGGATGGTAAGTATAGACTATGATACAGTAATTCACCTATAATTCACCTTGGGAGCCCAGGAGGCACCTGCAGAAAACACATGGCTTCTCCAGAGCCGCCCAAACCTAGGATCAACAGGTGACTTTGAAAGGTAACCGCCATCCGTAGAATCATACTGTGAAGTAAGAAAATGAACCATGTTTCAGAAAGAGCCCCAAACTCCAAGTCAAGGGCAGAATCTCTGACTGTAAGCCGTGGATTTGTGACCCAGATGTTCATGCCTGCGAAACTGTCTTCCAGGATTTCATTTAATGATGGTTAGCAATTCTCAGAGCAACACACAAGAAGCCAGCCAGTAAGTTATGTCAGAGTGATGGGCAGCTTGGAAAGAGGTTGCTCGTGCTCTTACAAAGCCACCAGTCTTTTCCATCCCCACCGCAGCCACATAAATTAAGCCACTAAACCTTATCATGGGGGCTCCCCGCTTAGGACCTCATCTGACCCTAACCACTTCCCAAAGGCCTCACGTACCATCAACATGTGAATTTGGGGGCTAAGTTTTCAACGCAAGGACTTCGGGGGACACATTCAAACCATAGCTTCTGATATTCATGCTCCTAGCGTGAGCTGGACCTGGAAATTTGCTTTAAGTGTCATACAGCAAGAAACATCTGCGATGTTGCATTCCTGGTAGGTTACAGCAAAAGCCTTTCTTGGTTCCTCTGAAGGAAATCAGCCTCTGTACTGCTATCCGGGAGCTCAGGGGGCGGGACACCGAGGAAACCACTGGCCAATAGCCATCAAGGACCTGAAGTTCTCTGTCCCCAAGCCCAGGAGGAATCCAGTCGTCCTCCTCCGTGGACGTGGTCCCTTCTGAGTCCAGTTTTGAGTTATTCAAGGCCCTGGCCAACATCTTTTTTTCTAATTGACACATAATAATTACACATTGTCACAGGGCACAATCTGATATTGTGACACACGTAAAGAATGTACAACGAGCAGGCATATCCCTCATCAGGATACCCATCCCCTCCAATATTTATTTCTTTGTATTGGAAATAGTAAAAATCCTATTTTGAAACATACAATCAATTATTGTAGCCATTGTACATAACACTAGATCTTAATCTTCCTGTCTAACCATATTTTCGTATCTGGTAACTGACCTCTCCCCTACCCTCCCAGCTTCCAGTAACCATCACTCTCCTCTCTACATCTACAACGTCAACCTTTTTAGCTGCCAGAAATGAACCTTTCTGCCCCTGGTTTACTACACTTAACATTTCGTCTTCTAGGCTCAGCTACATTGCCGCAAAATACAGGATTCCATTCTTTCATATTCCCGGCCAATATCCTCACTGCGACCTTGTGAGAGACCTTGAGTCTGAAGACCCAGCCAAGTTGTGCGAAGATTCCTGACCCCCAAAATCCTGAAATTAGAAATGTTGTTTCGAGCTACTATATTTTGGGATAATTTTTCAGCTTTTTAATTAAATTAATGGATATCAAGCTATACATAAATCCATAGCATATTTTATTGAAAAACATGATGCATGAAGTATTTATAAGCCTTGATTGTATAGTAGGCTACAAAGAAAATCTCGACAAAGGTGAGAAAGATTAGAAAATACACTTCTATTTAAATTGAAACCAAGAAACCTCTCCTAATTACATGGCCATTCTTTTTTGGCATGTGCCCGACATACTAACTACTGCACACAAGATGCATGCATGGTCTAAGTAAGAATTATAAAGTGGGTATCCATGTAGACATCGGGCAGGTGAATAAACACATTGTGTATATCAGAAGCCTCTGTGCATCTTCCCTGCAAACAGCTCCGCCCCTTTCCCCAGGGTGAACACTCTCCTGCATTAGTTCTCCTTAGTTTTGTCCTTGTTTTTCTTTACCACCTATGTGTACAGCATCACAGGTGTATTTAGCATCTTTGTCTCAAGTTTAACACCAGGTCTCCACACAGGTGCCTTTGAGCCACAGCAGTTTTCCAGTGAAGGGGCCAAGTTTGCACCCTTGGCAACCAACACTGACAGAAGCTGAGGGTAAGGTGCACTGGCTTAGCAAAGTGGCTGGGGTGGTCTCCACAACATATTGTAGATGTGAGAGTCATCCTCACTGTTTGTGTAGCAGTTTTTCATGAATTTTTATTGCCAGATAGTATTCTGTTGCATGAATATATCACATGCTTCGATGACCATGTGGGTTGCTTCTGGATTTGCCTATTACAAATAATGTTCTGTGTTGGACATTGTGCAAGAGCATCTCTAAAGCATATACCCAGGAGCAGAATTGCAGGACTGTAAGGTATGTGCACTTTCAATTTTATTATACCATAAAAGTTATTTTCCAGTTTACATTACCAGATTTGTTTGATAGTTCTTACGGCTCCATGTCATTACCAACACTTTTATTGTCGGACTTTACTTTATCCATCCTGGGAAATTTGTCATGGTCTCTTACTGAGCTTTTAACATATTTTCTTTGTTAACAATAATGATATTTCACACCCTTCTTACATTTATTGGCTGCTTGGAAATTCTCTTTTTGTAAAGTTTTTACCTAAGTTTTTAATATAATGTCTGTCTTTTCACATTGATTTGTAGAGACCTTACTTACAGTTTATATGCTACAAAAATCTTTTCCCATCCTGTAGCCTGTCTTTCTACTCTCTTTACGACTTTTAATAAACTGAAATTATTATCACCTAATTCATATGGCTATCTTTTATGTCTTGTTTAAGAAAATTTTCTGAACTTGGAATGATGAAATATTCCTCTATATTACTGTAAAGCTTTTAGTTTTGCCTTTTTTGAATTTTAAGCTATCTATGATTTATTTTGTATAAAGTATGATTTGGATTTATTTTGTATAAAATATGATGTAGGTAGGTAATTGTGTATTTTTACCACATAAATAACAATGTCCCAGAATCATTTAACAAAAGTTCATCCTTTCGCTCATTAAATATCATCTCTGTCACACATCAGGTTTCCAAAATTGCATGTCTGTTTCTATTTCATTGGTTTATTGTCTTAGTCACTGTAATTTTATAATGCCTGATACATTAAATCCTTCTACCTAGTTCTTTTTCGAGTAAATCCTGTTTATCTTAGTGATTTTTATTTTTCTACAAATTTTAAAATTTCAAAATAAGTTTGCCAAGTTCCACCATTAATTACAAAAATCTGTCAGGATTTTCCTGTCTCTATTGATTAACTTGGTATATTTCCCAATTTACTTATGTCTTTTTCAATGTCTCTATAAAAGTTTCAAATCTTTATTGAAATATAATATACGTACCAAAAAGTATAGAAATTATAAGTAGAGTGTGGAATGAATTTCCATATCTAAATAACCAGCACCCAGATGGAAAACCAGAGTATAGTGCTACTAGAATCTCAGACACCTCTGTAATCCCCTTTTAACTGCCATCTTACAACAAGGGAAACCACCTTCTTGAGTTTTAATAGCATGTAATAATCTCTCCACTTTTGAACTCTATATAAATAAAACCATTCAGTGTATGCTTGATCTCTTCTACTCAACACTCTGCTTGTGAAATGCAACTACACTGCTCAGAGCTACATTTTGTTTATTCTCTTTGCTGTAGTGTATAGTATTCTACTGTATGAATCTACCACAATATATTAACTCATTCCATTTTGGATGATTTCTGAGGGATTTCTGATGGCGGCTACTACAAACAGTAATTGACATTGTTTTACATGTGGGGGGAATAAATACTTGCATTTCTATTAAGGATATAACTGTGAATGTAATTGCCAGATCATAAGTTTTGTCCCTAGAAAATATTACCGAACAGGCTTCCAGTTGTATAAAGTGTCTATATTTCTACAGCAGCATATGGATGTTCTAGTCATTCTGTGTACTCACTCATACTTCCCGTATCTGTCTATTCCAGTTTAGTCACCTTGGGGTATACAGTGGCATCATATTGTGACTCTAATCTACATATCATTGATACACCTTTTCCTATGTTTATGTTTATCAGCCTTGGGATATCGCTGCTTATGAAGGATCTGTTCAAATCTTTTTCCCTACTTTTCCTATTCAGTTGTCTGCCTTTTGCTTATCGGTTTGCAGGAGTTTCACACTCTGAATCTATTAGGTTTTTGAGTTTGGGCATGTGGGTGACAAACATTTGAATAATTGGAAAATTTAATAAATCCCAATCTATCTGTTCTTGGAGTTCAAAATGCGAATTTAACCAGTGAAGGTTGTGTGACATCCCTGTAGGTCTGTGCATGCTTATTCTGGCTTGTGGTGCTTTCTTTCCTATTGAGTTGAGACCTTGTGAGAACTCGTATTTCTGAGATTCTCTTATGCCTAAAATGATGGTTCCTTCCTCATGGGAGATGCAGTACAGCAGGCCCATGACCTCACAGGTACTAGGTCTGGACTGGTACAGTCCTGAAACACTTCAGGGCATCCTGTTTTGTGGACCCACCTGGTAAGTTGAATGGGGACTCAGAGCTCACAGGAACTTCCTACACCTGCTAATAATCTCTCACAGATGGGGTTTCCTTTACTTTTACCCTTTGTGCTGTTACCTTTTTAGTTTTCTTGTAGTCCCTTGGGAGTGGGGCTTAGGGGGTGAAGCGGGTTTAGATTTACTTCCGGTTCATTTGGAACCTACGGAAGCAGCCCTTACAGGCCTAACTTTGTGGTGCTCATTTCCTACTAGACTGTATATAGAATTTAATTTCTGAACCTGCAGGCCCTGAGAGGACATAAAAAATGAAAACCAGATTTCCAGAGTATCCTGCAAAGTAGAAAGAAAACTCACAGACTTGGGGAAAAAAACTCAAACTTTACCAAATGTTAAAGAAATTCAAATCAAAACAGTGAGCTAGCATTTTTTGCCTCACTAAATGATCAGTGCATTTTAAAAACAGTAGTACCCAGTGCTGAGTGGGTGTGTTGAAACTGACATTTTCATTACTTTGCTGCTGATACATGAATTGGTAGAACTCTTTTGGAAAGTGATGTGGAAATATGTACTGTCATTTCCAAAAAGATCATATTATTTGATTCAGTAATTTCACAGCTGAGATTAAATCCTAGGAACAGAAATCCAAGTGTAGTTCAGTAGTTCAGTAATATAGCACTTTCCTACTCTGCCCAGGGCCCTGGGTTCC